CTTCACACAAACAAACTTGCTCCCTTCGGAGACATAAGCTCTGCTCTGGGTTCTGGCACCCGATGGGAGAGGCCTCTTAAGAAAATCAGAAGAAAAACCTCAGCTCCTTAGTGGCTGAACTGTGCAACCCAGGGAAAGGAACTGCATTTCTCTGAACCTGACTTCTTCCTCTGGCAAATGACAGACATACAGGAGCATAGAAGAGCCTCTAAGGAGAGAACTGTCAAACAAGGCAAGGCAGCTCTGTTACCTGTTAAGGGGCGGGAAGCAGGGAGAAAACTTTGCATTCTCTTCTGCTTTGGACATATACGCTTAGAATCATAGAATCAGAGAAAGCTAGGGATTCAGAGACATCTAGTCCCGTTTCCTCTCTGGGAAAGTGAGTCCCAGAGAAAGATCAAGACTTGCCTAAGCCTGATTGACTCCAGCGCAAACTTCAATGCCAGTCGTCAGATCTGGAGAGAATGCTTACAGAGACACTCACCCGCTACTGGGCAGGGCTAGAAGAAATGTCTTTAACTTGTAAACAGAAGGATTCTGGTGAGAAACAAGGGAGAACTCCTGAGTACAAGAATGAGGATGGGGTCATTCTTTACAGCCTGGACAGAGGCAGGGGGATGCCTGAAATGATCTCTGCACTACACCTCCCGGGGAGGTGCCCGGGGGCACCACTGTCATGCCAGTCCTTTCTTTGAGAATCCGAAGGATTCAGGGTCGCTCTCCCAGAGCCCGGCGCCATGGTCGGCGGCTGGGGGAACTTGAGAGGCCAGTCCTGGAACAGGTGCAACAGCTGGAGCAACCGCGCAGCTGTTGCCGGGCTCAGGCTCAGCAGCCTGCACGCCAGTGAGTGAGGCAGCGACCTCTGCTGGTGGGAGAGGAGAGGTGCAGAATGGCCCAGTCAGACCCAGAGAGAAGTCGCCTGGAGCTGGACTTCAGGCCTTCGCTTGGTTGCTCCCTACGGCCTTACACACACCTGCACGGGGAGATAGGGATGCCACTAAGTGAACAGAAAAGCAGGGTCCCCGCTGGCCAGTATCCCACTACCTCCACTGCCCCAGGCCATCGAGGCACTTTTTTTCTGGTGTCTGAGCATCTGCCTGTCTACTCCTCCCTGGCAGGGCAGGAGTACTACCCTCCCCTCAATCCCTATCCCAAAAGCCAGAGTGGACTCGGAATCAAGGCAATCACATCTTTGGATCTTGGATACTTAGGATCAAGAGGTGTGAAAACTAGAATGGTCCTCAATAATCATCCACTTGAGTCCAACCATCTCACTTTACAGAGGGGAACTGAGATGCAGAGAAAGGCAACTTGTCCAGGGTCACAGTGGAATTGATGGCACAGCCAGGGCTGGATCCCTGACTTTCTGGTTCCAGGTTTGCCCTCTGCATCACATCCGACCAGGGGAGCTCCCTTCCTGTCCCATGCCTGCATCTAGGATCTGGAATCCATCACCTGGGAACGAAAGCTTCAATTTCCATAATACACAAAACCCGGAAGGAAAGAATAGATGAGTTTTGTTTTGTTTTTTTCTGAGCAGGGTCTCACTGTGACACCCAGGTTGGAGTGCAGTGGTGCAGTCACAGCTCACTACAGCCTCTATCTACTGGACTCAAGCAATCCTTCCACCTTAGCCTCCTGAGTAGCTGGGACCACAGATATGTGCTACCATGCCAGGCTAATTTCTTTATTTTTTTCTAGAGGCAGGGTCTTGCTATGTTGCTCAGACTGGTCTTGAACTCCTGGGCTACCCATCTACCTCAGCCTTCCAAAGTGCTGGGATTATAGCTGTGATCCACTGTGCCTAGCCTCATGTTTTTACTTGGTAACTGACTCTCTCCTGAAAGCAGGATTGGATGGAGGGAGGGAAGAGAAAGCAGAGCATACTGGACACCTCCAAGGGACAGTTAGGGAGGAGAACAAAGAGGAGCTGAGAGGAGTAGGGCAGAGGGCACTGCAAAGAGAAGTAAGAAGCTAGTAGTCCTCTGGTGGATGCTCATCCACAAAGGGCTGAGTGTCTAGAGTGACCAGCATCACATATGTCTGGCTCAGCCCAGGGCTGGGACAAGTACCGGTCAGTAACCAGGTCAGGGACCCAGGCTAGGAAAGGGATCTTGTCTGGGGGTGGAATTAGTGTTCAACCTGTGGCCAAGGTTGGAGGATTAGGGCTTGGTTTGCGGCTGGAATTGAAACTTAGTCTGTATTGGGATTAGGGCTCAGTCTGTGGCTGGAAATAGAACCAAAGAGAATAATTTTTGTTTGAATAGCTTTGTACTTCAACTGAGGAGTAAACTGTCACCTGTGCTCACAGGCCTTTGGCATTCTTCAGGGCTTGGACACCTCAGGAGCCTCATACCACACAGACTTGAAATTTCCATCTGTTGGCACTGTTTCTGAAAGCACCTATTGCCAGATTTTCTACCCACAACAGGCTTGAGATCTCAGTTAAACTAAGATGAGGACCTTTGTAAGAGACCTCTAGGTAATATCTTGGCAAATGACTACAGGAGGCTATCTAGATTAATAGGTTATCAGCACTAGACAAAATAAGGCTCAGATAAAGAAGTGGTCTGTCCCAATTCACACAGCCAATAATTGACAAATTGGGGTCCAGGATCCAGGTCTGTTCTTTTTTTTTTTTCCCAGGTGTGAATTTTTATTCTCACAAAAAGACAACAATGTCTTCTCACACACAAGTATTTTCTGGTTTGTTTATTTTTTTTAAGAGATGAGGTCTCACTGTGTTCTCCAGGCTGGCTTTGAACTCCTGAGCTCACGGGATCCTCTCCCTCTCAGCCTCCCAAGTAGCTGGTGATTAGAAGTACAGCTGTGTCTGGCTTTTGTTCTTTTCTTTAACAAATTTGCTGTGTGACCTTGGGCAAGTCACTCTTCTTTTCTGGGCTTCAACTTAACTCTAAGTATAGGTAAATCAATAGGTAGAAGCAGATGGTTTTTGATGGCTTCGCCAGATCTAACAGCCAAGAATCTTAACATTCCCCAATAAGTGCCAGTCCACCTCACCCTAATGAGTTGGCTCCAAGTCTCTTTCTCACATGTCTGGAGCTCTGTATTTACAAGGCTGTAGGGGAGATGGAATACTGGCACTGGCAGCACTTGCTGAGAGGTACAGAGCTGAAGGCCAGGGAGGCACAGAAGAGGGAGATCAGTGGATCAAGTCACCCGGGAGAGTTTGCTTGAAGAGGTGTGACCTAAGCAAGGTTATGAAAGGCTGACAAGATATGGGAAGCAAAGAAGCGGGGTGTGGGGAGGATAACAGTCTGGTTCTAGGACATCTTTCCAAATTGCATCCAGGGCGATGATACCTGGAGAAAACATCTCAGGGACTAAGAACAAGTTGTCAAGTGGATGGGAGGCAGGCATGGCATCCTGTGCAAAGTCACTTTTAAGAAATAGAAGGAAGGAGGAAACCCTCAAGGTTCAAGGAAGGGGAAGAGACATTTATTGAGTACACAGCATTGTGCTGGGCACTTTAACCTGTTATCTCCTTTAATCCTCCCAAGAACTCTTCAAGTTCTGGATTAGTATCTCTCTTAGACAAATGAAGAAATTGAGGCTCAGGGAAGTTATGACTTACAAAAAGTCACACAGCTACACTGGGCAGAGCCAAGACTTGAACCTAACTCTGAGCTAATTCCATTACTTGTTCTATGTAATGGAAAGACTTCTCTGAGTCTCATGCTGCTGGCAGGCCAGAGAAACTCAGCCTGCTCTCATGAGCAGAAACAAGACTGAAATGAAGTCCAGCACTACTAGCTCCAGAACGTCACGTGCAAAAGAAAGGCATAGATGGAGCAGCTGAGCTGTGGAAAGGAAAGAGCACCATACTGGGAGTCGGGAACTCAGGGTCTTAATAGCAGGCTGTGCCGTGTATGACCTGGAGAAACCCACTGCCCCTCCTTGGCATCAGTTTCCCTATGGGTATTTCAGGGTTTGAACGAAGCCGTTTTCTTCTGATTAAGAGAATCTGGTTTGGTTTCTCATCCTCACAGCATTCTAAAAGATTGGCCGGGCATGGGCAGGGGGCCCACCAGCCTATTGTGGGGACAGTGAGGAAACTGAAGCTCAGACTGATGATATAACCTGTTTGATGTTACACTATATCTATGCAGAAAAGCATAATTAAGGAACTGATTTTTTTTTTTTTGAGAAGCTATCAAGTGCCAGTCTTGTGCTAGCTGTGTTACCTAGTTTTTCTAATTTAATTCTATCATCTGTCCTAGGATTTTTACTTCCATTTTATAGATCAGGAAACCCAGGGTCAGAGAGGTGCTCTCCATGACCGCCTCTCAGCAGCTGGCATTCCCGGGGCTGGGGTGGTGAAGACCCTGGTCTATCTCACTGTGCCCTGCTGCCTCCCAGACTCTCACGCTGAAAATTCAGGGTTCCTTCTAGACACCGTGGGGCAGAGAGTAAAGCATAGGGTCTGGAACTAGAGTCCTGGCTTTGGATGGCTTACTAGCTCTGTAAGTTTTAGCAAGTTCCTCTTCCTTACTCAGCCTAAGTTTTCTCACCTGTAAAGTGCGAATGATAATACCCACCTCACTGGAGAGTTGCGAGGATCAAAAGAAAGAAATGGGAAGCTTATCCTAATTACTTCTCATTTCTGTCCAATGGCTCTTTCCAAAGGCAAAAAGCCTGTTCTTCTTCATCACGCTCCTTACCTGTGGCCAGACATACCCAACTCCGTCCTAGGAGCAATACATCCTACCCCAGCCCAAAGCACGGTGCCCTGCCCTCTCCCGCGCTGCCCTCGGCGCCCCTCCTCAGGTCCCTGGCAGCAGCCCTCTCTCAGTTCTGAGTCATGCCGAGTTCCTTCGGTCCCCCGGCCCGTACGGGTCCTCGCAGGAGTCTCCACCCCTCCGGCACAGGTGCTGCCTGGACGGCTGTCAGAAGAACTTGGGGTCCGAGTCCTGGCGCTGTCCTGCACATGCCAGGGGCCACGTCCCTCTTCTGCCCACCCAGCCTCCGGGTCTACTTACGGGCTCGAGCGTGGGAGTCCAGGGGGAACCAGAGCAGAGCGAGTCCCAGCAAGAAGGAGAGGACCCTCACCTCGGGAACCATCCTTCCTTTCCCCAGGGTCAGGCCTCTGGGCGCTGGGCCGGGAGCGGAGTCGGGAGAAAGTGAGACGAAACGGACACTGAGGCACAAGGGCACAGATCAACCCCCAGACCCCAGGAGGTCTGCTCCTAGAGCGGGGTCGGAGAAGGGTCGAGAAGCAGCGGTGAGCAGGAAAGGAGGACGGAAAGAGAGATCTAAGGTGGGAAAAAGAGAAAGGTGGAACGAGAACAAGGGAAAGGAGGAAGAGAGATGGAGATGGAGAGACGGAGGAAGGTCGGGTAGAAGGCAGAGGCGATCAAAGAAAGGGGGAAGGTGAGAGGGAGAGGAGGAGAAAGCAGGGAGAGGACCGGCGTCCGCCTAGCGCACAGCGCCGGGCGAGGCGCGCGGGACCAGCGGGTGTTCCCGGCACGCGGGCTAGAGGCGGCCGGCGCCCCCTGCTCGGTGGGTTCTGGGTCGGGCCGCGGGGGCCTGGGGCCCGGCGGGGCGGCGGTCCCGGCGGCTGCGGCGGCGCGGCTGCCGCGGAGGGAGGCTGAGCGCGGGCCGGCTGTGCTCGCCAAGGGCGCCAGGCGCCGCGCTCGGGCTCATTTGTACTTTGCCGCGGGAAGCAGGCAGCCCGGCCTGGCGCTGGCCTAGCGCTGGCGCCTCCTCTGTGGCACCGCGGGCTCGGTGGATTGGCCACCCGAGAAACAGGCCCACTTTTTCCCCTCCTATCTCGTGCGGGTCTCCGGGACGGACGCTCCAGGCGGGGCGCCGAGTGGAGGCGAGCGGGCTGCAGAGGGGGAAGGGGCCACCCGGGCCATGGGGTTTAACCCCTGACTCCCCGCGACGCCCAGAATGCAGGAGGGCAGAGTCGAGGGAGACCTCAGGTGGAACTTTCAGGTGGAAGACTGAGCTGTCGGGGCTGCGGGTACCAGGAAAGCTCTGGGTAAGGCGCTCGGTGGTGAGTGCCCGGAATTCGGCAGATGGCTAGAATCAGAACACTGGCATTCTTCATTCAGTTTGTGGTCTTCAGCACGCCACCTGAGAGTCTGTTTCCCTAGCTCTAAAATGGGCATTTTAAGATTTTAAAATATCTTTGCTATCTTCCCACGATTGTGCTAAGATGAAATGAGATAATGAACTGCGAAGCACTCACCCCCCGCCCCCCCCATTAGAAGGGGTCCTAATTCCAGGTGCCTACAATACCAGTTGCCCCAGTCCCCACTCCGTCTGCCCATGCGCCATTCCCAGGTTGAAAGCCAGCCCAGAGGGATCCTGTGCCTTCCTCTGGAGGTCTTCCTGTTCCCCACTCCCACTCCCAAAACAAGGCAAGATCTCTCCTTTGCCTTTGCAGGTGAGGCCTGCATCTCTCTGGGAGTGATGGTCACCTTCAGTCATCTTTAGGGAGAGCGGGCTGTCAAAGAGCTGTCTTTCCCGTCAGAAGGGGAGCTCCTTAAGGACAGGTCCCTAACACCTCCCAGCCCACAACTGGTGCTCCATCTCTTGTGTTGAATGAATACCTGCACTAAAAGGATCCTAAGAAGAGAATAGGCAGCTCTGGCCGGACCAGAAACACACAAGCTCTGAATTCAAAAGGGCAGAGTCATTGTCCTGACTCCATCCCTAACCTGTTGGGCCACTTTGAGTAAACACATCCATCCTTGGTTTGGACCTCAACTTCCTGCCCAGCTTCTCTTAAAGAGCTACTGGAGACTCCAAAGAGTGCCAGAGGGGTGGGAAGGGATGTTGAGCCATATCCCACACTGGTAGGGAATCATATTTCCAGGTTTAAATAATTGGCTGGCTGGCTGTAAAGGTATCTTTCTGGCCCAAGGCTGGGCTCCCCATTGCACTGTGCTTTCAGGCTATTACCCCCCAGATTCCCACCCCCTAACAGAGAGCAGTAGGAGGAATCAGTGATCCCCAAACTGGCCCTTCCCAGGGCTCTCAGAATCGGTGACAAACATGATCTGCCCAGTGCCCTTCAGGCTTAACTTCTACTCTAATATGGCGAGTCTCTTCCTTTCCTTTGGGCATTCTTTATTTTAACAGATAATGCAAGCTTATGCATGTCACCATGCTTCCCTTTTTGCCTTTGCTTTCAGGGAGCTCAGAGTTAAACCCCATGCTGCTTAATTGCATAAACAATTTCATCCCAAGGGTCTGGGACAGTGATCTTTTTCTTTCTCCATCTTTGTTTAAAATGTGCTGTGAACATATATTCATGTCTTAGATGTAAGAAGCTGATTAAGATGGGTTCCCTTACATCCTGCTCATCATACTTCAGAAAAGGCCTCTGCCATCTCAGCCCTCCTGTCAATCCCCATTATCCCCAGAGTTCAGGCCATCTTTATTCCTTTTTTTTTTTTTTTTTTTTTTTTTTGAGACAGAGTTTCACCTAGGCTGGAGTGCAATGGCACGATCTCAGCTCACTGTAACCTCTGCCTCTGGGTTCAAATGACTCTCCTGCTTCAGCCTCCCGAGTAGCTGGGATCACCATGTGCCACCATGCCTGTTAATTTCTGTTTTTTTTTTTTTTTTTTTTTTTTTTTTTTTTTTAGTAGAGACGAGGTTTCGCCATGTTGGCCAGACTGGTCTCGAACTCCTGACCTCAGGTGATCCACCTGCTGTGGCCTCCCAAAGTACCGCGATTACCGGTGTGAACCATTGCACCTGGTCATCTTCATTCCTTACTTGAACGTTCCCAACAGTCTCTTAACAGATCTCCTCCCCCTAATCTGGATCCCTCCTATTTTCCTCACGTGCCGGTGAAAACTATGCTGATCATTTCTGCTGACAAATCTGATCACATTACTTGCCTACTTAAAACCTATTATTCACTCCTTATTGTTTATAGATTACAATCTAAAATTTTCAGCACTGAATTACTGCGCACATTTTAGTTCTGATCTGCCATTGCCACCTACCCTACACTTTCACCAACCGCCCACTTCCTTAAACTGGCCATGTGTCGTCGTACCTCCATATCCTTGTATGAACTTTCCTTCTGCCTGGACTCTTTCTCTTCCTCCACCTAGTGAATCCCTTTTAACTTTCCAAGGATAAGGATCAGCTGAGTCTTCCCTGAGTCCCCCAGGCAAAGTCAATGTTTAGTCTTTGTATTTCCCATAGCACTTTGAATTGTAGCTGTTGGAGTGTAAGTATTTATTTGCATTTTTTACCCTGCACTGTGAGTGCAGGTACCTTTTAAAATTTATATCTGTATTTCTAGCAGTTAGCAAAGCCTAAATTGTATTTATCACACAAAGATACTGAATAAATAATTGCTACATGAGTGAGTAAAGCCCTCAGTGATTGGAAAAGCCTTCAGCCCCCTATTGGCCTCAGCTTTAGTCAGTGGTTGATATAAGAAACAAACACTTGAAAGTTTCTGTGTCAGGCCGGACACAGTGGCTCACACCTGTAATCCCAGCACTTCGGGAGGCTGAAGTGGGAGGATTGCTTGAGCCTAGGAGTTTAAGACCAGCCTGGGCAACAAAGTCAGACCTCCTACTCGGTCCACAAAAAGTCAAAAAATTAGCTGGGCATAGTAGCACGCACCAGTAGTCCTAGCTACTCTGAAGGCTGAGGCAGGAGGATTGCTTGAGCCCAAGAAGTTGAGGCTGCAGTGAGCCGTGTTCATACCACTGCACTCCAGCCTGGGTGACAGAGCAAGACTCTGTCTCAAAAAGAAAGAAAGAAAGAAAGTTTCTGTGTCTTCTATAGAATTACTATTGAAGAGAGTTGTCCATATGTTATTTAATATCCTTTTAAAAAGAAGACTGAATAAATTCTTCCAAAATCTAGTCAGGGAAAAAAAATGCATCTATCCATAGCAATTTGTTGCACCAAGAGTTTATCTGGCATCTGCTTGCTTCCTTCATAGGAACTTGCTCATTGCCTGCCAAGGCAGCCCATTCCACTATTGGACAGCTCTGTTAGAAAGTTCTTTATACTAAACTGAAATCTGATTCTCTGTGACTGCCAGTGTTGCCCCTTGCTCTGTCCCTGGGGCTATACAGAACAAGCCAAGTCCTTTTGTCTTTTCGAGCTCTCTAGAGATTTGGGATGGAGAACCCCTCTCCCATACCTTCACCTTTACCAGTCTGGGTCCCTGGACCCCTCATGCCACATTAAACATTTTCTTCAAATGTGCCAAGCTCTTGGCCCTCCATGCCTCTGCACACACTGTTTCTTCGGCCTGGAATGCCCTCTCTGTACTCACGCTTATTTGTCTGGAAAGCTACTTATTTTTCAAGGGTTAAGGTAATTGCTAACTCCTTCATTCAGGCAACAGTTACTGAGTGCAAATTCTGGGCCAGGCATAGTGCTAGGTGCTAGGGACACAGTGGAGAACAAGACAGACACTGACACGTATATTCTAGATTCTCTGAATCCTCTTTTCTGGTCTCTGAGTTAGCTCCATTTCCCCTCCGTACTTCTTCCTTATAACACTTATTACGTTGCATTTTGAATAGGTTTTGTGACACTTCTTCTAGAGTGAGTTCTTTGAGAACACAGATACTACTTATCTAATATCTTCCCTAAGCTTCAGCCCATAGCTTTGCACATATTTGCTGCTAAATAAAGGTTAATTGAATAATATCCTAGATACTTCAAACAGTCCTCTTTGGACATGCTATTTGTGACGAAAAGGCCGTCTCCTCTGCCGCAGTTGCTTAATTACGTAAACTTAGCATAGCGATAAGGATCATAGGGATCAGTGTCAAGGAGAGACTTAGCCTAGTCTGCTTAGCTCTGTCCATAAGATTCTAAAAGAAGATTCACCACAAGAAGATTACATAATAAGAGACTTTACACCAGTGGTATGTTGGTAAATGTTTAACAACTGGTTCTCCAGGGGAAAAAAAGTTGTGTTTTTTACAGTTGCCAATGTCTGTGGTGTAAAAACTCCCACTGTGGCCAATTCACACTACAAATGTGACATCACTGAAAGCACAGTGGAGAAGAGGCACCTAGTGAAATACCATTCTACAGTAGTTCTTCCATATCGACATAGTAGATGTAAATAACTTCAAGAGTATTGAGAGCAGTAAAGTAATTAGGAAGTGATGACTCCGTTTTTATTACCTCTGTTTTAAATGTAACTTATTTAATTTTTAGGAATGACTGTGTTCGATAACCAGCTTGCAACATTTCTGAAAATTTAACACCTGGCTCTCCTTAGCTGGTTAAAGCCAGCTCTATATACACTGCTTTTACATGATTAGGTGCTAAAAAGCAATGAACAAATAGACTCTTTAAAGCTGGGTTCAGCCAGTGGTGGTGGCATGTCTGTAGTCTCA